AGAATTGAGTTTCCCATCTTCGCAGGGGGAGATCCCACTTCCTGGCTTCTGCGAACAGAAAGATACTTCGATTATCACGACACACAAGGACCTGATCGTGTTCCATTAGCTGCTGCACACCTGGAAGGAGAGGCGATCGTCTAGTACCAGTGGTACCGGCGACGGCACCCAAGGGACACATGGGCAAACTTCATCGACGCCTTAACCATGCGATTTGGAGTCTCAGCTTTTGAGAACTATGATGAAAGCCTCGTGAAGCTACGACAGACCGACTCCGTCCAAGATTATCAGATGGCATTCAAAAGATTGGTTGTGCGCGTGCAAGGCTGGCCAGAAAATGCGCTTGTCGGCAGTTTTGTCGGTGGACTTAGGGAAGAATTGCGGCTGGAGGTAAAAGCCATGCAGCCCACCACCGTTCTTGAAGCAGCAGCATTTGCTCGATTACATGAAGACAAACTGAGAAGGATTAATCGACCTTTGGGAGCTACGATCAGACCAGGTATACCGAACCAAGAACCAGGTATCTTGGGTAAACCGGAGCCCAGATCAGGAGTAGGAATCACAGGCAAGGACGCCAACTCTGGCTCAGGCCCTGACTCAGCCAAGAGGTTAACCTGGGTTGAGATGCAAGCCCAACGGGAAAAGGGCCTTTGTTATGCATGTGGAGACAAATTCGGGCCGGACCATCGCTGTAAGATCCCCCAAGTTTTCTTCCTTCAACCTGAAACCGAATATGTCGAGCAATCAGCTGACATTGAGGAGCCAAGGGACAACCAAGAATGGGTACAATGGACAAAGGAATACCCGAAAGTATCCCTGCAAGCCTTGACCGGTCTTGCTTCTTCTCAAACTATGAGAGTAACCGGACTGATACAAGGGTGCCATGTGTCGGTTCTGATAGACAGTGGCAGCACCCTCAATTTCATCACCCAAACATTGGTCAGACAACTAGRGGTTCCGGTCCAACCATGTGCAGCCTTTCAGGTGCACGTAGCTAATGGGAGCAACCTGGTATGTGACAGTACGTGCACAGAATTAAAGATAAGGATACAAAGACATGAGTTCGAGGTGGATCTGCACCCCTTGGAAATCAGTGGAGCAGATGAAGTTCTCGGAGTCCAATGGTTAAGGCAACTAGGGCCGGTGATATGTGATTGGACCCGCCTCACCATGGATTTCCAAATGGGCAGCTCACAGGTGCATATTCAAGGGCAGCTGTCCAAGGGTCCAGGACCTATTAGCCTCGCCTCCCTAAGGAAACAAGCAGCAAACCCAACCCACATCGTTTTAATGCAGATAGACTCCCACAAGAACAGCCCCATTCTAGCCCAAGAAAGCAGATCCGAAGAGGGCCGCACACAACTACAGCAGCTACTTCAGAAGTTCTCAGGGATCTTCCAGGAACCTAAGGAACAGATTTCATGTGAATACGCAAAGGGAATCACATCGAACCAAAGGCATCGGTGGTATGGTCAGGTCTCCCAATTGAGGATGCAACTTGGGAACCTTACTTGGATTTACATAATAGATTTCCACATCTAGACCTTGAGGGCAAGGTCGCTTTCAAGGGAGGARGGACTGTTGAGACACAAATAAAGGGAATATAAGTGTACAAGAAAAGGCCACGT